CAGTGAGGATTTAATACTTCGGCAGGTACTCAGTGATTTATTTAATATCAGTGAGGATTTAATACCTCGGCAGGTACTCAGTGATTTATTTAATATCAGTGAGGATTTAATACCTCAGCAGGTACTCAGTGATTTATTTAATACCAGTGAGTATTTAATACCTTGGCAGGTATTCAGTGATTTATTTAATGCCCGTGAGGATTTAATACCTCGGCAGGTACTCAGTGATTTATTTAATACCAGTGAGTATTTAATGCCTCAGCAGGTATTCAGTGACTCATACTGAAGCTATATATAGCAATCTTGAATTCTCCTGCTAAAATCTAGCAACACACTGAACATTTTCTGGGTTTTCCCTCTCTGAATATTCTTAAGTACCTTCGAGTCAGTTCCGACTCATAGCATCCCCGGATAGGGTTTCCAAGGAGTAACTGGTAGGTTTGAACAGCTGACCTTGTGGTTAGCAGTCAGTGCTGATCCAACAGCGGTATGGCCATGCTTACGTAACACGCTGCCAGTCACAAAGCAAGTGTGTTGGCTAACTTAAAACAGAAGGCACTTTCAGGAATGGTACAAGCTTTACTACAATTTAACAAAACAGCAATAAAATACCACAAATGAATAATTTAAGTGAGAATAATTACACTGCAGACTTTATTTCCAATTCAAATAAGCAAACAGCTCAATGATATTCCTTGCATTTGAAATAACTGAGTTTATCTGTTGACTGATCATATTAAGACATTTCCTTATATTATGACACTTTCCTGAGAAATGAGCCTAGTCCCCAAGCTTCAAGTGCCCTCATGCACAAAACAAAGGAATCTAATAGTTTGATGTGGACTCAGATGTCCTTTGGGGTCTCTGAAAATGCTAACGTACTTTAAATTGATCCACTTCGGAAGTAGAACGGTTGCAGGAAATTAATTGTACTCAGTAAGACTGACCACATAATTTGCAAGGCTAAGTGCAAAGTGAAAATGACAGGTCTTTTTATTAGAAATGATTTAAAATTTCAAGATGGCAGCATCTGAGTGTATGTAATTAAGCACAGGGCCGTTCTGAGTACAGCAGGGTCCCATAAGGTGGCACAGGCCATATGTCCATGAAGCTGGTTCTGGGGATACTCAGACTGGCACTGAATTCTGACAAACTTAAAGCCTCTTACCTTTCATGAGCCTTGTGACAGCTGTTTCTGTGAGCAGCAGTACTCCATTGTCAATGTGCTGCAGCAGGTTATGCAAAGGGAGACAGTGGACGCCAAGGACCAAGTGCAGAGTGTGAAAGCCTAGGGTGAGACGTGCAAGAGGAGCAGCATGGTCAGTCAGCATCTCCAGCCTCCCAGAGGGAAAATTAAATGACGTTTGAAAGCATTTAGTTCAGAGCTTAGCACCTAGAGTCAACTGAATGTTCTTGGGGACGAGGGACAAGCTTCTTTGTATTATCAAGACCAAGTACAGTGCTGGGTACATAGTAAATTTATGCTAGGTATGTGTTTCCTCCCTCTGTGTCCCACACCAGGTGGAAAGAGGGGAAGGCCTGCTGAATGACAACTGGTCTTACAGTATAATATGTTGAAGGAGAAATAGGCTTTGAGAGGCAAAATACAGTCATCCTTTCCTCCTGCTAGGCTACTTCTACTTGCTAAATCACTCTTATATAATTTTTGATGGGATGGCCTTGGAAGTCCAAGTCCAAAGCCATAAAAAGCCCTGCCTCCCACTGAGGGATGTGATGAGATGAACTATTCCTGCCACTACTTATGGATTAAGGAGCTCTGGTACCGTAGTGGTTACGAATCGGGCTGCAAACCTTAAGGTCAGCAGTTTGAAACTACCAGCTGTTCCGCGGGAGAAAGATGAGGCTTTCTGCTCCTGTAAAGATTTACAGCTTCGGAAACCCTGTACAGGGTCGCTATGAGTCAGAAGTGACTCCACAGCACATAACCACCACCACCACCACTCATGGATTGCCAGTTTCGTTCTTCTGTCTCATTGCTCTCTCCATATTTAGAGGTAAATTTCAAGTTACTGGTCCATGCCTAGACATATGTTTGCAATTCTACAGCAAGATAGCAAAGGAGAATAATTAAAAGAACTTCAAATTCCATTTGCCAGGCTAAAAGGCTGATGGGTGGGGACCATTTTGCTGAAGGGGGGAAACACTGGCACAAAGAGGGTAGTTTACAAACTAAGAACCTAAAAAGAAATACTTTGGACTTATATACCCTGTCCCAACTTATGAAGTATTGGAGTCCTGGTGAGGCAGGTTAATGCGCTGGACTGCAAGGTTGGTTTGAACCACAAGGTTGATGGTTCAAGCTCACCAGCCACTCCTTGGAAACCCTGTACAGGGTCACTATGAGTCGGAACTGACTCATTGACACTTAACAACAACAACAACTTTTGAAGACCCATGTTATTAATCTCTCTATATGGCTGATCTTGGGTATGCCCTAGAGAAAGGCTTTTGGAGTCTACATAAACCAGATGATAGAAAAGACATGATTAGAATTACACAGCCAGATAGCAAATCTATAGGAATTCAATAAAGAAGTAGGTACTCTCTCAAACATCTCATTTCAAATTCTCACAAATCTAAAGCTCAAAGTACATTCTTAGTAACAAAACATAAAACCAACATATACTGGTGAAAAAGATACCCACTACGGTATCACAAAAGCCCTCTAGGAAAAGTTAGAATTTGCAGGGAGCTTTGAAGGAGAAATTAAATTCCAAGGAGTAAAAATGAGGCAAGCAAGCTATTGAGTGGAGACAGGAAAAACAGACTCAGAAGGAGACACTCTGGGCTAGAGTCCTGCTCTGCTGATTCCTAGCTGATGGGAAGCTAAGTCGTTTTGAGCCTTGTTTTCTTCATCCCTAAAGTGCAGTCATCAGTACTTTCTTGCAGGCTGTTCAAACACTAGAGCTAAGTCTGTGAAAAGCCTAACACATGGTTCCCAACAGCGACTAATACCCAACATGTACTAAGGGCCTCAACCTACGCCCTGGCTCATTTGATCCTCATACATTGCAAAGTGGGAACTAAAAGATTCACATCTTGGGGGAATCAAGACACATAGGAGCTAAAAAAAAGAGCCAAGAATTTTATAAATGGTAAGTTATTGTAGCTGAGTTGAAATTTGAACCCAGGCGCTCAGATTTTAGCCTGGGCTTTTAACCCATAAGATTATCCTGCCTTAATAACTGGTAGCTGAATCCACAGAACAATATGAACAGTGGCTCAAAGGTGATCAAGTATGGGGTTGGTGTGTAAATAAATATATACATACATCCCTACATATGTAAATAAATGCATATGTAAATACATATGTAAATAAATAAATAAATAAAATCCAGTTCAGCTGGAGACTTGTGTAAGCTAAAGGAATGGAGGAGAGAGGGTAAGGTTGGAAAAGGTAAGTCTATTCAACAAATCCCTCCCGGGTACTGGGCACTGGGCCAGGAGTACAAGAATAAGCCAAACAGGCAAGTCTGCTGCTTCCACACACCTTACAGTTGTACGGCACAGACACACCATCAAGTAATTACAAAAACAAATATATATATTTTTTAAATGTAGCCAGTCCTATGAAGAAAAATTACAGTGTGTAATGAGAACATGTGACAGGGGCTGAGATCACAGTCTTTTTTTAAGAGAATGTAGAATGATAGCAAAGAATGTATTACTTAATTTAGAAGACTTTGGAAAGGCACTGAAGATTTTCAAGCAGGACATAGCAAAACAATCTGAGTTTCAGAATATTAATATGGCAACAGGCAAAGAATGGATGAGGATAACTGCTTGCTACAGAAGGTTGGAAGACCATTGGGCAGCTTTGTTTGAACCAAGCCAGTGGTAATAAGGGTGTTGGCAGCGAGAGAGGTGGGAAGGGATCAAAGATAGCCACATGCATCAGCAACTGATTGGATGTGGATGGCGAATGCTAAGAGCTTACATGGCAGAGGTGATGCCCCAATAACAGGGGGTTGGAGTCAGCAAAATCACAGAATTATTTTCCATCTGAGCAGATGAGTCACGAGCAGTGAAACAGTCCTAAATCCTGGCAACACTAAGGGTCAGATAAAGTGCAAACTCTGCCCACAAGCTCATGTTAATGGGTTGAAAATGACATGAGTCCACTAGTTTCCCAGCATCCAAAAAAAAACCAAACACAAAAAAAGTGATTTTATTAGCTAACGAGCAGTATAAGTCTTCCAAATGGACTTGCCTTTGGAAATTTGTCCAAAGTTTAACAAAAGTTATCAATTGTTTCTTAAACAAGTTTATAATAGATTATTGGTCCTATAGATTTCCTGAAGGAGCTCTGGTAATGTAGTGGATACGAATTGGGCTGCGAGCCGCAAGGTCAGCAGTTCGAAACTACCAGTTGTTCCGTGGGAGAAAGGTGAGGCTTTCTGCTCCCATAAAGATTTACAGCCTTGGAAACCCTGTACAAACAGGGTTGCTATGCTTCGGAACCGACTCCACAGCACTTAACCACCAACCACCACAGATTTCCTGAGGAGCCCTGGTGGCATGGTGGTTAAGTGCTTAACTGCTAAAGTCAGGTTGGCAGTTCAAACTCATCAGCCAATCCACAAGAAAGATGTGGCAGTCTGCTTCCATACAGATTCCAGCTCTGGACGTCTTAGTCTATCCAGTAGGGTCACTGTGAGTCAGAATTAACTAGACAGCAATGGGATTATAGAGTTTCTGGATTCAAAATTCCTTCTCCAGTCCTGTGTCCATGTCCTAAGAATCTCTGGATCACCTTCTATCCCTAAGATATAGTCCAAAATTCAGCAGCCCAATGTTGGCCTCTTTTCTGTGTGTCAGCTCCAAGCACCAGAGAAAATTATCTAAAACTGGGCATCAGTTCTGAATGAGAACACTTTTCCATTCAATTGCAGTTCTCATTCTCTAACAATTCTGGCCTCCTTTAGCCAGCAACTGGAAAACAGGGCCCTTTTAAGTAGCAGATGCTCCAGTTCAATACCATGACTTCTTTTTTGTGGTCCTCACTCCCTTTTTTCTTTAATCTTTTCAGTTTACTTGAAACTCAAACAGTTAAGTAGAACTGGAAAACAAATACACTTACACATCTACAAATGCCCTGTTATTTATACACACAAGCACACACACATGAATATAAGTGATCCAGTGTCTCTGCCCCATCACCTCTATTTCCATACAATGAGCTAAATAGTTCTTGTTAGGTGCCATCGAGTTAATCCCAATTCATAGTGGCTCTGTGTGTAAGGGGATGAAACACTGCCCAGTTCCTGCACCATCCTCACCGCCATTGTTATGTTTGAGGCCATTGTTGAAGGCACTGTTTCACTACATCTCACTGAGGATCTCCCTCTTGTGGGCAGACCTTCCATTTTACCATGCCTGATGTCCTTCTCTAGGGACTGGTCCCTCCTGATAGCATGTCCAAAGTATGAAAGACAAAGTCTTGCCATCCTTGCTTCTAAGAATTCTGGATGTACTTCTTCCAAGACAGATTTATTTGTACTTATGGCAGTCCATGCTATATACTCAATATTCTTCGCCAAGACCATAATTCAAAGGCATCAATTTCTCTTTGGTCTTCCTTAGTCATTGGCCTGTGTTTGAATGCATTTGAGGCAACTGAAAATATCATGAGTTACCTCAGGTGCACCTTAGACTTCCAAAGTGACACTTGGCTTTGTAACACTATACAAACATCTTTTGCTGCAGATTTTCCTAAATGGAAGTGTCCTTCCTCCCCCTCCAACCCCCCTACAAATTCATACCTACCTGGAACCTCAAAATGTAACTTTATTGGGAAACAGGGTCTTTGCAAATGTAATGAGTTAAGAATATCATGATTAAATCACCCTGGATTTAGATCCTAAATCCAAAGAAGGATGTCCTTATAAGAGAAAAAGCCACAGATACAGAAGTGGACAAAGGCCACATTAAAATGACCAACGCAAGCCATTACATCTAATAAAGTCTCAATCACTGTAGGTAACATTTTCCTGCTCTCCCTCCTTATCCCTGTGAAGAAATGAAACTTCTGTCAAAAGTGGATTTTTACAATCTTCCTGGAATAATGATGTCTCCAGTAAGTTTCTTTTATTAATATAAGGATCTTAAACACCCATAGTAGACAAATCTGAAACTGCCCATTTATTCCTCTACCAACTAGAATTGAAGTCAGAAAATTACATAGCATTTTAACAAATTCCCTTCACTCTTCCTAGAAGGCATCTCACAATTCATTCATATTCCATTGGGATAATTTAAAGTTACTACAAAGTTAATAGAAGCTCCTTTTGTGCTTCCACCTACCAACAGACTTTATACAATAAGGTGTATGTATGGGGGAGTCAGGAAGGGCTCTATAGGTACCAAACACATAACAAATGCAGAGCAGCTGAGATGGGTCTATAAATAACCAATGTTTCAGCATTGACTAATAGAAATAGAATATAAAATTTAAAAAGCAACACAGAAAAACATAATTAAAAAAAAACATATTTTGGAGTCAAACTGCCTGAATTTAAATACTTGAGGGCGGTGTGACTTTAGGTAAATTACCTAATATTTTTGTGCCTCAGAAATGTTACAGAATGGGAACATTAGACGGAACCATATGAAAGTGCTATTTTTGTTCATTAAATTAAAAAAAAAAAAAAAGGTTGGATATTGATAATTTGATAATTTAATGTAGTTCAATATAAGTTCTTATAACTTTGAGTTGTTATGAAAATTAAATGTGCTACTTTCTGTGAAGTACTTGGAACAGTAGTACCTGGTACAAAATGATTGCCAAAGAAGTGTAAGCTTAAAATAAACAAATGGAAGAATGAATGATGGTGCATGGACCCATGTTTACAAATGAGTGAATTAAGTAAAACCAGCATATATATATATATAATGTAGTGTTGCTATCAAAGCTGACACTTTTCAGAGCACATGTATCATAAAAGGCAAGTCATTTATAGCAAATAGAAACTTGTTTCTTATAATGAATTTATATATACATCTTCCCAAGTAGACTTCTGTTAATCTTTGTTGTTATATATTATTATTATTAGGTGCTGTCCAGTAGGTTCTGACTCATAGCAACCCCATATACAATACAACAGCATGAAACACTGCCCAGTCCTGCTCCAGCCTCACAATTATTGCTGTGTTTAACTCCGTTGTTGCAGCCATTGTGTCTGTCCATCTCACTGAGGGTCTTCCTCTTTTTCACTAACCCTCAACTTTACCAAGCATCAGTTCTTTTCCAAGGACTGGTCTCTCCTGATAACATGTCCAAAGTATGTGAGACAAAGTCTCATCTCCTCCCTCCTAACGAGCATTCTCATTGTATTCTTTGAAGATAGATTTTTTTGTTCTTCTGGCAGTCCATGGTACTTTTAATAGTCTTCTCCAATACTATAACACAAATGCATCAATTCTTCTATGGTCTTCCTTATTCATTGTGCACTTTTCACATGCATATGAAGTTACTGAAAATACCATGGCTTGGGTGAGGCACACCTTAGTCCTCAAACTGCACCTTTGATCTTGAACACTTTAAAGAGGTCTTTTGCAACACATTTGCTCACTGCAAAATATTGCTTTGATTTTTTTTTTAACTTTTTATTGTGAAAAGACAAGCTCATCAGTTTTACATTTAAAAAAAAAAAAAAACCCTACACTTTCATTTGAATGTTTGCAATTCCCTCCATGTAAAAACAATGATCCCGCTTCCTCCCTATAGTTCCTATCTCCATTCCACCCTCCTGTCCATCCCTTCTCAACTTTGTCCTTAGGTCAATGCTGCCCTTTTGATTTTGAATGATTGACCTTTCTTGGTGAGTAGACCTTACCAGTGTTGTTGTCCCCACTAAAAATCTACCTGCTGTAGATGATGACGTGGAGTGATGAAGCGCCTGGGGACTTTGAATCCAGAGAGGGTGGGGGGCGCGGAGTGTAGGGGGCAGGTTTGTAGGGTATACCCTTTGGTCGGTTGATAATGCATGAAGGGGACTGGAACCATGGCAATGAAACGATATATGATAGAATGAATGTAAAACTAAAGTTCTTTCATGTAAACTATCATATAATTCACAATAAAACATTTTTAAAAAATCTGTCTGCTGCTTGGCTGAATATTGGGCCATGACGGTGAGTTTCTTTCCAGACCTGGCAGGTGGTGAGGGTCAGAGTCTCAGGTTCCTCCAGTCTCTTTCTGTCCAGTAAGGCTAGTCTTTTTTTAAAAATAATTTCTAGTTTTGTTCTACATTTTCTCCTTCAAATGTAATCCGATCCAGAGCAGTTGATAATGGTAGCCAGGCACCATCTAGTTCTTGTGATCTCAGAGTCATGGAAACTAATGTTCACATATTCCATCAATCCATTGGACTAATTGATTCAAGCTTCTTGACTGCTGCTTCCAGGAGCATTGGCTGTGGATTTAGTAAAATGAAATCCTTGACAATTTCCATTTTTTCTCCATTTATCATGTTTTTATTGGTCCACTTGTGAGGAGTTGTAATCCATATTTATGGCTGTATTCTTTGATCTTAATTAATAAGTCCTTCAAGTCCTCTTTGTTTTTAACAAGCAGGTTGTGTCATCAGCATATCACAGGTTGTTAATGGGCTTCCTCTGATCTTGATGCCAAATTCTTCATATAGTTGAGCGCCTCAGATTATTTGCTCAGCATATAGATTGAATAAGTATGGTAAAAGGATAACAATCCTGATGCATACCTTTCCTGATTTTTAAACTACTCAGTATTCCCTTGTTCTGTTTGAATGGCTGCCTCCTGATCCATGTACAGGTGTCACATGAGCACAGTTAAGTGTCCTGGAATTCCCATTCTTTTCAATGCTGTCCATATTTGTAATGAGCATAGATGAGTGGTGGTAATCTTTGTAACTGCTCTAATTTCTAGCACAGTATGTGGAACATAATAATTGCTAAACAAATATTTGTTGATTGAATGAACAAATGACCAATTCAATTTATTGTATTACATGCACATGCCCCAATGGTTGCTTTGAGGACTGACTTGATTCTGTTTTAGAATCCAAGGGAATTTTTTTAGTTTCCAAGAACATAGGAATCAGCTCAATTCTTGGCCTCCTGTTAGATTCATTTCCTACAGTGTTACTCTTCAGACATCTCAATCAGATTAACCTGGACACATCAGAGAAATCCAGCTCGAGGCTGGCCCTAAATCAGCTCTACTGGTTCAAATGACTGTAGAATGTTCCACAGGACCAACATACACCCCCTAAAGTTACCTGCAGGATACAGTATCATTTACTAGTCAGAGGAGATTCTGGTCAAGAGAGACAACCTCAGGCCTGTCTCTCACAGTGACACCTAGACACACACCATCTCATACACAAGAGTTCTCATCAATACATTCCTGATGTGCCAAAATCCAGGGGTCATGTGAAGAAGAAACAAACAAATTACTCCAAAGAATAAAAGAGGCAAGGCTTACCAGGAGGCAGAGGTAAAAACAAACTGTTAGTAGCTTCCAAAATTTTGGTCATGAGGTGAAAGACTGCAAATTCGGCAGCACTGCCACGGCCATCACTGGGTAACAAGACAAAGTAGCATTGTCAGTCAGGACTGCATCACTAACCCCCAACCCACCCGGAGTAGTGCCTCTAAGTACCACAGAGGGGCCTTCATGGTAACTACAAAATATGACAACATCAGCCCAATGCCTGCAGTCTAGACAGACAGCGGTGGTGGTGGTGTGCCATCGAGTCAGTTCTGACTCACAGCAACCCTGCTTAGAGTTACTGAGGCTGTAAATCTTCACAGGAGCAGAAAGACTCATCTTTCTTCTATGGAGCTCAAAATACTGACCTTGCAGTTTCCAACCCAACATGTAAACCCACTACACTATCAGGACTCTGTAACCAGACAGTAGGCACATAAATTATAAATTATATTCATTTAAATTCCCCTTTTTGTCAGTACCAAACTCGTTTGTCCCTCCCCTCTCATCAACTCTACGCCAGGGAAGGGTGACAGTGAAGTAGGTGGCATACTATTAAAAGCTGCACACCTAAGACAGAGGGGCCTGGCTGGTTAGAACAGCTTTGAACTGGTACATTCCAATAAGGTTTGGCTAAAACAGGCAGAAATCAGGGCTGTGGTGGCTCTCTGGGTACATGATTAAGAGTGAGAAATCACTTGCGTACAAATGTAGGACCCAGCTGTGAAGTTCATGTTTCCTCCAACTGGTTTCCAGTATGCAGCAAATGAGATCCAGCTAGAGGGTAAGGACAGTGGTTAGCCTCTGTTTGCACCTTTCCCTCATGCCCTACAGTGAGCCCTCCCTCAGCTCTGCCCGGCATGGTCAGGGCTGTAAGCATTGAGGCTGCAGCCAGGACCCTGGCCAGCCTTCCTGAGGTCAGTTCTGAGGCACTGGAATCCAAAATGGAAAGACTGAACATACGCATCAGAGTCAAACAGAGCACGCTCTGTCTGTGCGGACAGTGTCCCCAGCTGGCTAGCTGGTCTTGCAGGCCCTCACCCATCAGGGAAGGTCAACGGCTGCTGGGTTTTCTCCAAGGCTTTCAAGTCGGTTCATTCTGGCTTGACCTCCCTTCTGAGAATTGGCATTTCTACCCCTGATATACACTGAATCAGAATCTATATTTTAACAATCTCTCCATCTATAAGAATCACCTGGGAGTCTGGTGTTTTCTAGGCCTGTTACACAGAAAGGGCCAGCAGCTGCCTTCTGAAGAAGGCACAGAATTGGATGGAGGTCAAGAGTGTGGGCTGTAGTGTCAGATTAGTCTCAAGCTCAGGTTCTACAGTTTCACTAGGTGTATTGTTTGTAAGTGGTGTCGAGCTAGTTCCAACCCATAGCGACCCTCTATAGAGTTTCCGAGGAGCAGCTGGGTGAGCTTGAACCACCGACCCTGTGATTCAAACCAACTTTGCAGTCCAGCACATTAACCCACAGCACCACACTAGGTGTATAGCCCTCAACAAGTTACTTATCCTCTCCAAGTCTTGGTGTCCTCATCTGAAAAATGAGGGGGGGGGAATACTTAAAGAGGGTTATTGTATGCATCAATTAGCATTTTGATCCTATTTGTTCTAGGGATTGTTAACACTAATGTTAAATGTTTTATGGGATTAACTAGGACAAAGAATAATGATACTTTTTAATATTCAGGAAGGAGAGATCTAAAATCTACAGTGGGTATCTTAAACAGCTGTGAGCTATTAGTTAAAAGACAAAGCAAGTTAATATCAACACTGGAGAAGATAAGTCATGCTTTCAGAAAATGCACTCCTCAGTGCAGTTCTACTGGGAATAAGACTTATTTAAGAAAATTCAATGTCCTGGTGGCAAATATCAGTACCTGGGAATATCAACCTCTCCAAATATAATGAAGACTGAAAATCAAACCTCACTATAGAAATCCATAGATATATTTAATAAAAAGCACTAGTAACTGCAATAAAGGCATGGAACATTCGTATTAAGTACCTAAAGACTAAATAAGGATTACTTCTAATAATCTTAACAAAACTTCCCAAGTTCAGGAGGAAAAAATACACCCTTGCATACAGACTATTTCCATACTTAAAGAAATATTAGTGTTACTTTTCTTTCTGTATATTTAAACATTTTTCTTTTAAAGTTATATTTCTGCTTTCTAAGCAGGGCCAGGCCTCAATAGGATACTTTTTGGAGAGTTAAGACAGCCTTCAAACTCAATCTAGCCACATCACTTCTACTTACACGTGGACATGGACTGGTGTTACTCATTTCAATGAAATCATTTCAATAAGCAGCTACAGGGTAAATGAGCTGCCGATCATATCAGCAGGCTCTAATATGGCAGTATTTATATAACTGAACTGGAATTTGGCCTTGTCGGTCTATTGGAGCTAATTAACACTTGAAGTTCAAGTTCTCTCATGCCTTCATAAGCCTCATTGTACAGAAATCACTACCTGCTATTTAAGGAGGAGATGGAAGATACCAAGATGAGATGTGAGCATTTGGCAACTGTGGTGAGTCCATCATTGTCCTATGCTTGCAAGAGTGTTTCATCACTATTTGAAGTGAAGACTAACAGAAAACTTCCTACACTAAATCCCCTTTGTTTATCATTTCTTACTTCCCCTTTCTCAATTTATGGCACCCAATATGAGAGGACTTTAAAAAGTTCATGGAAAAAATGGAATTAAAAGATAATAGAATTTCTCTATGAACTTTCTGAAGTCCCCTTGTATACTGATTTGTGAAACCTACAAAAATCTAATTTGGAAAACATGTAGGGGACTTCACTGAACCACATACTGGGAACGATAAACTAGATGGGGTGGGAGGGGGAACAGAAAGCAAAACGAACCAGTTTTGAAATGTAATCCAGAACCATCTGTTCAATTTTCTTCTTTTCTACACCCTGTAGGTGTCTTAAAAGGTGTTCTTTTAGCTCATACACCATCTGAAATAGAATATGGATTGTATAAGTCAAAGCCTACGCACTCACATACAAATGGTTTGAATTAAATACATTTATTGGCATTCCTCATTAATATGAAAAACATTGGTGTGAAAATCCTACTGTCCTCAAAGGATGGCCCTCAATATTCCTCTGATAGTTATGAATCAAGGAGTCCTGACATTTTTCTCAAAAGGAGCTACAGTGATTCACCGAAGCCCAGTAAGTAGCTGAAAGGGTTAGGCTCCAGGCACCGATGATGATTCTCCATATAAGAGGCTAGTGACAGTCACCAACTTAGAAACCAAAGGCTTTGATACCAGAGGACTGAAATCTACTGATCCTGGAGAACTACGGTCCTGGGAGTTAACACCAAGTGATGGCTGATGGTAGCAGTGGTCGGGGGTGTTTACAAGGACAGAGTCAGGAGTAAAAAGAAAACACAAATAGCATGTCCCTCTTTACACTTAGACACTGTGTCTAGAAACTAAACACAGCCCCGACATACAAAAGTAATGAAATATTCATTCTAATGCCTCCAGAAGGCTTGTTTCTATACTCTCTCTGCTCTGATAACCCTCAGGATTGCCTAGTCAGTGGGTGACATTCCCAATCCGTCCCACCTTTGCCTTTTCTCCTTCCTCCTCTTTTCCTTCCTTTAGCTTCGATTCTCTGATCATCTAGAGACTCCCTTGGCTGAAAGAGATCTTTGCCCATGAAACCTGGACCACTGACATCACATAGGCATGGATCTTCTATTGTAACAGACTCCCACTTAGGATGCACTCAGTAAAGCCTAGATCGTGGCCTTTGAAGCAGAGCACTGTACTATTTCAATTCAGCTTCCTATGTGTGCTAATTGATTAGGCATTTTTTTTAATTGTTCTGTTTTGTTCTTAATTAAAAAGAGCCCACATTTTTGTGTTCTTCAATTTTTCTATTATAATCATCAAGATGAAAATGAAAGTCACCCATAATCCGATCTTAAATTTTAGGAGGTTATTATCTTTTTGGGTTGTGCATACCCATTCTAGTACTTTTTCATCTACTTTTGTATGTAATCGTTTTCTATGCCATTGACTATTCTTTTGTCACACAAGATTTGATGACTGACGGCAAACATTTTTTGAAAGACTGAATTAAAAACTGAGAATGATATATACAATCTAGCCCTTTCCCAAGGTGGGATGCCACTTTACAGTGCCCACAGACCACTTACCAGCCCTACCAGCAGCCTCTGGTGGTTGTCTTCTTCCTTGAAGAGGGGCACTGATCTCGGCTCTGAAACAAAACAGAGCAACAGTCTAGCAGGGTGTTTTTCAGGAAATGGGCCGAAAGTAACAGGACTCAGTCCGGGTTTCCTTTCTCTACATCAATGGGAACACTTTAAACTTCCCTAACAGGATCAAAAACTTTCATTAGATAACTGTTACTGAGTCCTACAAACTGAACTCATCACTAGGGCTCCCTCCTCCCTTAAACCCAAACCAAAACCAACCTCCCTGCCACCAAGTTGGAGCTACCCTGCATGGGGCCTTGGAGGCCGTAAATATTTATGGGAGCAGAAAACGTCATCTTTCTCTCATGGAGCAGTTGGTGAGTTTGAACTGCTGACTTTGTGATTCAGTCCAGTGCTTACCCTACAGCACCACCAGGGCAAGTGAAGTACAGTGAGGGGTAGGGGTTTGCTAGAAGGATCACATGACTCCCTTCTATTTTCTTTCACCAGTTCAACAACTTTGGGGGTTACTGAGCTGAAGGAACTGGCCAATAATCGTAATCTGCACAAATGATCAGACTGAAAAGGTCAAGATGGAAAAGTGCTGCTGCTGTTGTTGTTGTTGTTAGGTACTGAATCACAGCGACCCTCTGCACAACAGAATGAAACACTGCCTGGTCCTGGGCCAACCTCATAATTGTTGACACGCTTGACCCCATTGGTGCTGCCAGTTTGCCAATCCATCTCGCTGGGGAAAAGTGATAGGTACAGTTAAATCAAATCGCATTTTCTCCATCCTGATTTGCACTGCACTAAGGAGCTCTGGTAGTGTAGTGGTTACAAATCAGGCTGTGAACCGCAAGGTCAGCAGTTCGAAACTACCAGCTGTTCTGTGGGAGAAAGATGAGGCTTTCTGCTCCTGTAAAGATTTACAGCCTCGGAAACCCTGTACAGGGTCAATATGAGTCGGAACCGACTCCATGGCACATGACAACAACAGGGTCAACTAATGCATCAGACTGCAAAGTCGTTTGAACTGCAAGATCAGTGGTTCAAGCTTACCAGCTGCTCCTTGGAAACCCTACACAGGGTCGCCATGGGTCGGAATCAACTCGACGGCACTTAACAACAACAGCAGGGTTGCCATGGAGGCTTAGTATGGCCCTGTGGGATTAGCACTCAACTAACTTCAAGGTTGGTGGTTCAAACCCACCAGCTGCTCCTTGGAAACTCTTTACCCTTTCTCAAAGGGAAAAATGTGTGGCAGACCACTCCGATAAAGATTGGTCTTGGAAACCCTATGGGGCAGTTCTGCCTTGTCCTACAGGGTTGCTATGAGTGGGAATCTAATCTATCTGGTGATGCACAACAGCAGCACCATAAAGAGCTTTAGTGGCACAGTGGTTAAGCACTCAGCTGGTAAATGAAAAGTTGGCAGTTCAAACTTACCTAGTGGCTTCACAGGAGAAAGAGCTGACAACCTTTTTCCATAGAGCATGCAGCCAAGAAAACACTATGGGGCTGCTCTACTCTGTCACCGTCCCGGGGGATTCAATGGACTTAAGGACACCTACCAACAGAGTCCTGCTATGGCACTGTAGGATAAACACCCGACCTCAAGGTCGGTTTGAATCACAAGGTCAGTGGTTCAAACTCACCAGTTGCTCCTTGGAATCCCTATGCAGTATCACTAGATTCAGAACCGACTTGACAGCACTTAACAACAACAACAACAGGATTTCCTGAGTCAGAGTCAATGTGACAGCAATTAGTTTGGTTTTTATTTGTTTGGGATTTTGGTTTGTGACTTTTTTGAAATAGTGAACGTGCAGTCAAACACAAGCCTCCTTCTGAGATCTGCCCTCATACTCACTCTCGCTCTTCCTCTCCCAGATGCCCAGGGTCAAGAAGGTCAGACCACTCCAGTCAGACCACTGACCAGTGCCCTCATGGGTGCCTTTTAACCCCTTGGATACATGCTATCTGGACCAGATTGAGATAAGGCCATTTAAGACTTGAGCCCAGTAGCCCTGAATTTCACCTAGAATGTTCCATTCTCATGCAGTGACAGCCCTCTCTCTTCTTGGAGAGCTAGTGCAAGCAAAGCACAGAAGAGAAAGGGGGGGAGGGGGGGAGCAGTTTCCCAGTGTGGATTCAGAGAGAATGGGCAATGATGGTGTGGGGAGGGACACTCAAAACTCAACCAAATCACAACAGTCCCCACATTGTAAAACCCAACCAACACAAGGAGGGGAACCCTGAGTTACACATTCCCGCCACTGACTGGTGGGCAGGACTCATGCCCACTGCTCTTGCTTAGTGCTGGCACAGAACCTCAGCTTTAGGTATGGCCTGCTGACAATGGCTCAGGCTCTGGACCTGAACCTGGTTCCCCGGCGGCTGTTCAGTGAGGTCAGGCTCTAGCAGCCGGTGCAGGAAGACGAGCCCACCACCCTGGTTCACACATGGCTGTGTGGTCAGCTGCGGGGATGAACAGCAATGGACGATGTGAAACAATTTCTATATGACCGCCCACCATATACCTCAAATGTTCAACCCACAAAACAGAAGTAGGACATAAAAACAACATTTTGTTTCGTTTTTTTAATGAAGGCTGACCTTTCTGAGACATGAAAGGCACAGAGCGCCACTGAGGACCACAAAAAGGCTCTTGTACCTGACTGTGTTCAACATTCCCTTCCCCCAGTCTCACCTGGTTAAGTAACCCTAGTGTGTCAAGAGTTCACTCACATGTCACACCCTCTATGAGGTTTCCTTCGACCCTCTCCACCTCCCCCATGTATCAGAACTTCCTACATCCTGAATTATGTAACACCTTTCACTTCAATTTGAAATTATATGTTAACATATCTTCCTCATGCCTCAAATCCTGTGCTACATGCTACACACATTGCCTGCTTTGCTCTTGTTTTCTCCTCTCTCTAGGCCTGAGGAGGACAGTGCATAAAATAGATCAGTGGCTTGCCCAAGAGTACATGGTGGACAGGGGCTGAGCTGGAGTGTAAGACCGCTTCTTTCTCACTCCCAGACCCGTACGTTCACTCCATAACCATACCACTGGCTACCTAGAGGGTCCTCACCTTTGTATTTCTAGGATCTAACCAGATATCTGTCCAGGCTGTAATCAACAGGAAAGGTGCATACCAAGCAAATACTCCTGTGTGACCAGACAACTAGAGAGAGCAGCCCCAAATCAAAGGCGTTGCCAAAGCACATTCTGCGGATACAGCCAGAGGGCACATTAATTAGATCAGCTATGCATGAATGCCAACAGCCAGGGACTTCTCCAACAAAAGCACATTTAGTGGCTTTCCCTGACGATCCTGGGGCCAAGACAGAGCTAGAAAGAGCTGCAAGGCATTCCAACAGAAAGTGGACTGCCACTCAACCTGTCAGAAGGGCTTTCTCCCCAACCCACAGAAGTAAGAAGAGTGTTACAAACAAACCACTGAATGAGATCCAGAAGGCTTCAAGACAGGTTTTTCCTTACCCAAATTCCTTGCTTCTAGGTTAGAAATCACCCTACAAAGAAATTAGTCAATGTTATTCACACAGGAAGTATTGTTACATATATTTTTTATAAAAACAAAAATTAAGGCCACACCACCATAAAAAATGCCCTCCTTTAAACACCTCTAAAACCACCATAGAAACTGTTTTAAGGCTGCTGAAAACCTCAAAAACTTTAATCAACTTGGCAAAAGCTACATTAAGCAATTATAAAATCCTAAAACTGCTTAGTGCTAACGAGGGCAATAATTTGGAACAATCACAGCTCTCAGTTATTGGAAACAATGGGAACAGAAAATAGAGCAGGGGTTGGAATGGGGCCTAAACTTGTAACACTGCAAGATGATTCATCTGTCCAGAAAACATGCTTTCAAAATCACAGCAAGTTCACCAGCTTACTAGAAAAGCCCACTTTAAAAAATCTACCTACTACTTACTGCCTGTCCTCTCCCCAAGTGCCCAATTCTTAACACCACTGAAATCATCCCTGGCAGATGGGAGAGCAGAAGTCTGGAAGGTTTGAACATACAAACTTCTCCTCCCTGGAATAGCTCCCCTTCCCTGACTACAATCCCTGAAGACCACAGATGCCAACTCCAGAATCCTGTCTCCAGTGGCTGCAGGGCTCAGCTGACAACATCACTTTGTGGAGGAGACACAGCAAAAGTAGTGTCCAGGAAAGGGAAGGGAGCCAACAAGGTGGCTGCTGCAAAACCTCCCACTTGACTTACTTCATTGCATTATCGAGAATATTCCTCATGTACACTGTGGACCGTCTTTTTCCTCTTCTCTATGGATGAGAACATGTCAGGGGTGTGAAATGTGAAGATTTTTTTGGGTGACATTTTTTTAGATTGAGGACACAATATGCTTTTAAAATTCCAGAATGAAGAAATATACCTTCCAGATAATCAAAATATTTACATTTTAAAACTTTTTTTTTCATTTTAATTTTGAAACAAAGATTCAAAGGAAGTACCAAAAATAGCAGAGGAGATCCCATATCTCTTTTACCCAGTCTTCCCCAGTGGCTACATCTTATGTAACTATAGTACAATACCAAAATCAGGAAAGTGACATTAGTCCAATGTGTGTGCATAGTTCAGTATCATTTTATCACATATGTAGATTCCTGGAACTGCCACCACAATCAAGACACAGAGTGGTCCCATCACCGCACTCACCCCCTTCACCTCTGGGCCATCCCTAATCCCTGGAAACCATTTTTAATGAAACTAGTAATGAAGGAACACATTTGAAATGAATCCTCTTACTATTATGAGCATGCTGTGTGTCTCTGCCAGTCAGTTTCCTCCCGGGGACACCACAGGTCATACAAGAGGCTCTTTCTGCCTATTGGAAGTCAGTATCAAGAAGGTAAAAATGTCTGGCTGAAAATGTGGGTCACCTTTATAACCTAAGACACCACGTGGATCCAATAGTGCACAAAGCTTTTGCTTCTAAGATTGTTCTAGACATACCCCACACATACCTCTTCCAAGATGAGGCTGTTCCACTCGTTCCTGATCATGCTGTTGTTATACTGGAAGGGTGGCTTGGCATATTTAACATACTCTAAATTGTAGTTCAGTTTTTCCCAGTAGCCCTTAAAGCTATGCACCTGTCAGAGACCAAACATCAGTGAGCTTGAGATGCAGGTGTGGTGGTTCAAACTGTCCAGCAAGAGTCACACAAACCTTGCTGGAAAACTGGGCTCACTTTACTCCCACAGCTCTTACATGGCAACATTTCTGAGGAGAATACTTCCCAAGGGGGCGCCACTAGGAATTCTAAAATAGTGAGACCTAAGGAGTTTTGCCTTCCCTGCTTGATTTCCTAGTCCTCTTTTACAACAAAAAGAACTGCTGCTCACTTCGCAAAGCCATCATCACCTCCCTGGGTTAAGGCTTAACACGGACACCTGTGTTAAACACCTCAACTCACTTCCTCCCCAGAGACCCAATTTTCTGACTTAGGTTGTGCCAACAATGCCATGTTCTGTCAGAGAATGTTCACAAAATGTGTGACCTGTGGGGTAGGCTTGCTTTCCTCCTATTTATTTACTCACAAGGATACTGTTCAAGACCTATTCTAAAAGGTGAAATGAAGAAGTTTAACATTCTGTTGTCAAATACTCCAAAACAGTATTTGTAGATCTACCTAGGTGTATGACTTACTGACATAATTGTACTATACTGAAGCAAGAATTCGCTCTCACACCATCTTAAAATCACAAAAACAATGCTAATAACACTTTAAATGTTGAAGAACAGAACCGACACACGCTTTTTTTTTTTTTTTAATCAGTAAAGACAGATTTAAGATACATACTTTTCTTGCCAAAATATGTGTATTTATAAAAGATTTGACTGGGGCCAGGAGTACAATGTGTGGCCATAAAATGAAATGAGCTAATGCCTCCTGTGGTGGCTGGCTTGGCTGTATTACAAAAGACCTCCCAAATACTCCCCATTGAGGGAAAACAAGTCAGACCATAGCTCCTAACTCACAAACACTTCCTGATAGTTTTCAGCTAAGTTCTCAATAATAGTTGTTTCTTCCCTTCCCCCCTTCTCTTTGTTTGAACTTGTTATGGTAATATTGTTGTTGTTGTTGTGAAGTGCCTTCGACCTTGTTGTATAGAGTTTCTGAGGAGCAGCTGGTGAGCTTAAACCTCTGACCTTGTGGTTCAAATAGATTTCTTACTGAAGGACAATGATATTTCGGTTTAAAATGGATTTGGGGTTATATCAGTAAAATGAGCTACATCATAATATTACAACTTGCTGTTGTTGAAGCCTGAAATACCTGTCCAGCCAACATCCCTTCTCCTCAAGACAGGAAATACTTTTTCCAATGAAGTGTCATCTCCAGGGGCAATTGGCCACAAGTCAGGTCTGACTGCCCCTGGAACTACCTTCCTCACCTTTATGCTTCCTACAATTTATTTATAAAAATTACCTTTATCCACCCTTTGGCCTTCCCTGCACTGAAAAAAACATCATCAAAACAATCTTGCAAACATTTGGCAGGAGTAGTTTCCTGACAGAACTCTCTACAGCTGTCTTGCTGTCATCCCTACTTCCGGGCTCAAGCAATGCCAAAATCAGAGACCTACTCATTGGTGTTGTACTGACATCTAGTGGTTAGTTCAGCTAATGACAGGCACTGTAGGCTAAGCACTGGACTGTGAACTACAAAGTCAGCAGTTCAAGCCCACCAGTCATTCTGCAGGAGAAAGAAGAGGTTTTCTGCTCTCATAAAGATTTACAACCCTAGAACTCCTATACAGGGTCGCTATGAGTTGGAATGGATTCGATGGCAGTGAGTTTGGAGTCCTGGTGTGGTGCTGCAGGATAATGTGCTGGACCGCAAGGTCCATTTGAGCCACAAGGTCAGTGGTTCAAACCCACTAGCCACTCCTCAGAAATCCTATACAGGGTTGTTAAGGTCGATGACACTTAACAACAACATACACCTGTGGTTATCAAGAGTAGAAATAAACTGATGGCAACGGTCAGGTTTGATGGATTTTGTTTTGTGTTTTAGCTTTAGCACAGGTATCTCAGAGCACGGTCCATCCAAGCCATGCCCAGAACAAGACAGGAGAGACAGGCCCATCGGCTGTCCCTTCCTCCCTTCTCAAGCCACCTTCCTAATTAAAGACCCACAGATGCACCAATTGCCTTCCTTTGCCTCACTCCCCCTACCTCCTCAGACCCTTTCCTCAGCTGAAACAGATAAAGCGCAGTTCTTGCCAAGTCCGTGGACAAGCTTCAAAGGGGCTCCAGAACCTGATGACTGTATATAAAACTGATGTGTGTGTTTAGATGGGCATTTTGCTGGGAAGAAGGTTTATAGTTTGCACCAGATTTCAATCAGAGGCCCAGAAAAAAATTGAGCTTACAAACAAAAGAACTCCTTACATTTAAGTCAGAAAGCCTGCTAGCCAAATGTCCCAGACACATTTTCATGTGAACTCATGGGCCTGGACCTTACAAAACAGATATTAAGATTTCATAGCTAGATTAATTCCTGGCCTATGTCACTGGATACGTGATCATGTTTTTTATATAGATCCCCAGGTGATTCTTAGGTGTACACAAGAAAAATTCCACTTATTTATACAGAAGAATGACTAGGAGTCCTGGTGTAGCACTGTGGGTTAATGCACCAGACTGCAAAGCCATTTGAACTGCAAGGTCGGTGGTTCAAACTCACCAGCTGCTCCTCGGAAATCCTATACAGGGTCACTATGGGTCAGAACCGACTCAACAGCACTTCACAACAACAACATATATAAGAATCACCTGGGGTTCGTGTTATTTTTGTTGTTGTTGTTGTTGTTGGGGGCTCGTGTTATAACTGTAGGTTCTGATTCAGTACATCTGGGGTTGCTGTTGTTAAGTGCCGTAGAGTCAGTTCTGACTCATGACGACCCTGTTTAGGGTTTCCGAGAAGCAGCTGGTGAGTTTGAACTGCCGACTGTGGTGCTTATCTTATGGTGGAAATGCAAATTCTCAAAAAAGGGGGTTGAACGGAAATGAACCTGTTCGAAGGTCACAGTTCTACTCTGGTCTAAAAGGTCTCTGAGTCAGAATCAACTTGAGGGCAATGGGGTTTCTGGTGTTAGAAGCAATCAGATACTTAAGGAATGATCCAGGGATGTTTGTCTCCAAAAAAAAGAGTTTTCAATTTTGAACCTGAAAGAAGAAAAATTATTTCAAGTCTCTTCTTCAGAAATCATCTCATTTGATCTCTTAGGATGACATGCAGCAATTGTCAAATGTAATTAGAATATTACAAATATTAACAAAAGGAGCAAAGGTTTTCTCATTAAGTTTCCTGTTTCCTGTTTAGGACTTGGATTGCCAGATGGTCTCTTAAAAAGAAAAAAGGCACTGTGGCACCCACCCGCTCATCTGAAATTACTGCCAGGAAAATACGTCTGCCTTTCATTTCAAAAGGGCCTGCTAGCTTTAGTCCTATTTCTGCTGATGAACTAGCATCTTCTTACAGGTGAGGCAACCAACTCAAAGAGAAACCCTTTACACTGTACTGCACGCTGAACTAGTAGAGGTAAAGCATCAATCAGTTTAGCTCTTCAGTGGCTTCCATCTCCAGATCAGCCTTTACTTGCAGCCCAGAAAAACACCACAACTGTTTTCTCCAGCACACACACACACAAACACAACCAAAACCAGTCAATTCCAATGTGGTGACCCACGCGTGTTGGGGTAGAGCTATGCTGCATAGGATTTTTGATGGCTGAGTTTTCTTCTGATGCTTCTTGATCAAGGGTGGTTGTTGATGTTGTGAAGTGCCGTTGAGTCACTTCCGACTCCTAGCAACCCTGTATAGGGTTTCTGAGGAGCAGCTGGTGAGCTTGAACCCCGACCCTGCAGTTCAAATGGCTTTGCAGTCTGGCGTATTAACCCACAGAGCCACACCAGGACTCAGATCAGAAGTAGGGACCCTTTTCTGCCAAAATTTATAACATCATTTGTGAGCCATACAAAATTAGCAACTTAAAAATTAGCCTGCTACATTTGGCCAAATATTTAATTAACTCACCCAATTGGGATGCGAACCCCACGGTTTGCAGTTTGAAACTACCAGGTGCTCCGCGGGAGAAAGATGAGGCTTTCTACTCCCGTAAAGATTTACAGCCTCAGAAACCCTGTGCAGGGTCACTATAGGTCGGAATCGACTCGACGGCACTTAACAACAACAACATTGTGATGGCAAGGAGCTCTGGGTTACGAATCGGGCTATGAACCTTAAAGTCAGAAGTTCAAAACTACCAGCTGCTCCACAGGAGAAAGATGAGGCTTTCTACTCCCGTAAAGATTTACAGCCTCGGAAACCCTGTACAGGGTCACTATGGGTCGGAATCGACTCGACGGCACTTAACAACAACAACAACAATGTGATGCTGGAGTCCTGGTGTGGCACTGTGGGTTAATGTACCAAACTGCAAAGCTGTTTAGAATTGCAAGGTCGGCAGTTCAAGCTCACCAGCTGCTCTTTGGAAACCCTATACAGGGTCGCTATGGGTTGGAACCAACTCGATGGCACTTAACAACAACAACAATATGATGGCTGGAATTGCAATTGCCTTGGCAGGGTCAGATGCTCCCCACCTCTGCTCTAGACAGACTGAAACCTCCAACTTTTCAGTAAGCAGTGAGCATGTTATGTTAATTGTTGTCCATAAAACTAGCAACACGTCATCCCAAGCCAAGATGCTTCGGTGTGTGCAGGTGCAGGGTGAGGAATCCTTGAGCTGCCTACAGAGGGGACTTCACAAGTGCAGTCTCCTGTTATAAATGAATATCCTCCTTCTTCCCCAACACTTAGCAAAAATCCTGCTCCTGTGCCCAGCTGGGTACTCACTTTTAATGGAGTGGATTTCTTTTTAATGAAATCAACAAATGTGACAAATTATTCCATCTTACATCCAATGCTAAGGTAACTCCCTCCTCTTTATGAATTAAACACTCTGTCCTCAACCAAAACTATAGATAGGAATAGCACAGCCTAGTGGCTGGCAGAAGAACAAGAGGGAGATTCCTTGATCCTATCTGTGTCTGTTCCTCAATTTCACCATATGGGAGGAAGATGTACGGAACCTGCACCTCTACAGGAATGAATTCACCAGCCTGATGTTCTGGTTCTAATACACAGTGTTTCTTTGCAGCAACATCTAATTATGCTTTACAATATTTATTGAACTCACTGTCCCAGAAAACAGATGTACATACTTTGGGAAATCTATTAACATTTCCCACATAACCAACTGGCATTTCTGGTGATGCGACAGCTTTGCCAAAGCAACAATTCTAAGTTTTAAAACTGTGATCTCTAGCAAAACCTTTTCATTCAGTGATGATGGTTATATATATTAGAGATGTCAAAACAGTGTCTTTCACACTGCACTCAGTAATTAATTATACTCATGCCTACCCAGTTAAGCAGTAATTTAAACATTTTTAAGTGAACAAACACAGTTAAATAAACAAGTCTCAGGACACAGACCTGCATGGAGAAGAGCTCAGGTCTCACCTGCCCTTTTCCTAATTGAGCAGGGGCAGTAAGCTCCTAACAAACATTTGCAGAACCAATTGCACTTCTCAGTGGCCACAGTGGGTAGTATTCTAAGTCCTTCTGGCCTTCCCAATATCTAGGTCAGGTAGTTAATAAACAAGTGATTAAATACACTCAAGATGTTCGCTCCATTTCCCGTTCACATCAAGCTCATTCAACTTTTATCCTTATAGTTAAGAAAGATATTGTCTCCATTGTTTATTGTCTTTTAATCCATACATGCGTCCTTGGTTTGACAGTCTTAAGGGGTTTTCTTCTCACTATAATCCAGGGGAAGTCTGTACCTTTTGTAAGAAGCTGCCACTTCCTCAGGGCAGTGCTTACGTGTTCATGAAGGGATGAAACCATGCTTCGGATAGCCTCTCTTGATGACAGTCCTTTTAAGTCAAGTACCCTGCTTCAAGTTACTTCTTCTTTAATTTTGTTTTAATGCTTTGGGAAACTGTTTCATAAATGAGAAAGATTTTTTCATCTTTCAAGTGACACTCTTCTCATTTAAGTGGTTTTTTTATATATTAAGCATTTGGAGAGTGCCCCACTTCACACTAAAATTATTTGCAGAGTGAACAGAGGAAGTGTACTTCTGGTTTCATTTGACACTTACCTACCCGCATGCCTCCTTACCAGGTCAGAAAGGAAGGAAATATGGCCCATGGTGATTCTAAAGGCAGCCTGTGGTTCCGAGGCAGCTTTAGTAAGCATGGCAAGAACCGCCACTTAACTTAACGGGGACTGGGGCCGGAGGAACAGCGAGTGAGGCATGCCATTGCAACCAGGTGTGTCACAAAATAATTAAGCTGGGACTTGGGGTAGAAGAAGTAGGTCAAAAGCAAAGGCAGGCACTTAGAGTGAATGGTATGATGCAAGCAGAGGTGGAGAAATAAAAGAGATGTCAAGGCCAGGTGTCCTATGAGCTGAAAGTACTGATTAAGTACAGTGCTAAGTGACTGGGAAGTGGGAGGTGGGGTGGATTTGTGGTCAAACCAGACCCAGCATGCTCCTCTCCTAAGGTCATCGCCAGCCCAAGCAGTACACCTAATGAATCCTATGCACGGATTAGAAATTATGATGATGACATCTATGCAGCAGGGTGACTGATATTACAACAAGTTGATAGGATATTATCATTGGTAATATTTCTAAATTATCTCTAGATTGCTACAGCAACCAGATGATCAAACAGAAATGGGAAAGACAGACAGTTGATACGCTGTGAACCGGAGAGCTGTGGTTGATGTTTCTTAAAAATTTTCTTCACTAGTTTGTTTTTGTTCTTTATATATATTATGGGGTTCGTAGCGATAGTGGTACAGGCAGAAGTAACAAAATAAAAGGACGGAGTCTCTCAGTAAGAAACTTCTAACTACTAATAGAATCCTTTTTATTCTATATAAGGTCAGCAGTTCAAACCCACCAGCTGCTCCTCAGAAACCCTACATAGGGTTGTTATGAGTGTGAACCAACTCAATGGCACATAACAACAGCAACAACTGCTTTAGTACAGCTTCACCATGTCCCACACTTTTTTGCATAGAAGCACAGTTGGTCAGTCTATCTTTAAGGGACTCTTTGGGAACAAAACCCAGCCCACTAATCCCCGTCCACGCTTCCCCCATCTTCTCCCTCCCACCCTGAGAGCATCACTGTGACCTCAGTTGCCCACAGCTTTCCCTAACACCCAGGCCTGGGCTGGCCTTCATATATCCAAAGAAACAGAACATAAATAAAAGGCAGCAGCATAGTGAGCCCCCTGCTGCCAAACACTGAGATTTCCCAGTACACACCAAGCTATAATTAACAGGAGGCAGTGCCAAAAACAACAAAGGCACGTCAAGAAAGCTGGGCTAAAATACTCCCCAGTTTGTAACGACATGCATATTCTTTTCTGTTCAGCCTACCACTCCACCCCATCCTCCCTATTGTGTTCACAGATGCTGCTGAACCCACCAGACTGCAGAGACAAGCTAGGAGCTAACAGCTCAATGGGCAGGAAGGAGATGCACAGAAGCTGGACTGAGACCACATGGTGAGCCAATGCAGGTCACTCTTGAGAAACAGAAAAGCTGTTCAGAGAACCAGAAGGAAATGAGGTAATCCCAGCTCGGGAGACTCAATGGCTTTCAGATCAAAACCCGTATGTGTGCGTGTGTGTATGTACGTGATGCATGCCTGTGTGTGCGGGAAAGGGAGGGAATGTTGAGGGAGTGGCTGCACAAATGAAGTAAAAACAGCTATCAGGCTCTCAAAAGATCATTTCCAAGCATTCTAGTACAGACTGGCTTGAGGTGCAGCGGCAAGTAATCATGTATGTGGTTTCGGTTTTATAATTTTCTCCTATCTTCAGAAATCTTCCCTCTCAAAGAGTGTTCCTAAGAATGGCTGTAATATCATACTCAGTTGCTAAAACCCCAACTAAACCATGCATGTCAGATTAGAACTATGCTCCACAGAATTTTCAATGGCTAAGTTTTCTAAAGTAAATGGCCAGGCCTTTCATCTTAGACACCCCTGGGAAGGCTCAAATTGCCAACCTTTCAGTTATCAGTCAAACACATTAACTGCACCACCCAAGGACTCACTCGCACATTAGGAAGAATTCTCTAGAATCCTCACTCCTATCCTCTCCCCTGCAATCCCTTTTGGAATGACAAAATTCAGGGCCTGTTGGACTCCAGGTTGAATGTGCAGGCAAGCAAGGAAGTCATGCATGTGTGGGCTTTTTAGGAGCTCTGGTAGCGTAGTGGTTACGAATCGGGCTGTGAACCTTAAGGTCAGCGGTTCGAAACTACCAGCCGCTCCGTGGGAGAAAGATGAGGCTTTCTACTCCCGTAAAGATTTACACTCTTGGAAACCCTGTACAGGGTCGCTATGGGTCAGAACTGACTCGATGGCACAGAACAACAACAACAACTGGATTGCTAACCACAAAGTCAGAGGTTCAAACCCACCAGCCGCTCTTTAGAAACCCTACACAGGATGGCTATGAGTCAGAATCAATTTAACAATAATAAGGGACTTACCTTCATAAAAGGCAATGCAATCTCTTCTGTCACAAGGGTTAGTCCAGGAATTTCCTATGGTGGAGAAACACACACACAACCTGCTAAATGCATCAGTGACCACAGGCTTAGGCCCCCTCCTTGGGAAGTGTTCTCCCCATAGACAGTTCTAGCAGTCCTGGTCTCTCCCACTGAGAGCAGCTTCCAGTTTGCTAACCTCTGCTTTAAATGAACCTCAGGGCATATAAATAACAGGGCAGGCGTGCAGCCTATCTCTTGCCTCTGGAAAAGAAATATTCTTCAAAGTCATGATTAAAATAATCGACAGGATCCAAAGGGAGTAAAAAAAAAAAGACTCTGTCACAAAGATAGTCAAAGCTAATAGCATCTTTCTTTTTCTTTTTTTACACATTTCCATTTAAGAGCAAATGAGGCAGATTACATTCACACCATCAAGTGTTCTTAATAAGTGGGAAATCTTCCATTATTTGTACTCCTTCCTCCTACCTCTTCTCTTGCTTGTTAAATGTATTCTAGTTGGCCTCTGCCTCACTGGAAAGGAAACAAGGTTAATGGGATTTGTACTTGACTTTCATGAGAAATTTTTCTGCACTTCCTCCTCCACCATCACTTCACAGATCAGAGCTCCCCAAAGAGCCTGGGCAAGACTCTCACACCACGGCAAACGGTGTGTAGGTCCTAGCATCTGATTAACGATATTCTGCTAATGCATCAGCATTCAAGTAGAAATTCAAATAAAGGATGCTGCCGTGGTTGTTAGGCCCTGTAGAGTCTATTTCAGTTCATACAGAGCTCATGTGATAGAGTAGGACTCACCTATGGGTTTTCCTGGCTGTCTTTATGGAAGCAAAAGGCCAGGTCTGTCTCCTGCAGAACTGCTATGTGGATTTGAACCACTAACCTTTCACTTACCAGTCGGGTGATTAACTGTTGGCACTATCAAATTAAACCAACCAACCCTCTTGCCACTGAGATGATTCTAATTTATGGGGACCCTGTAGACCCTATAGAACAGAGTAGAGCTGCCACATAGGGCTTCCAAAGCTATAAATCTTTACACAAGCAGACTGACACACTTTCCTCCCGGGGAGTAAATGGTGGGTTCGAACTGCCAATCTGTTGGCTATCAGCTGAACTCTTAATGATGGCACAACCGTAATTCCTCAAATAAAGGATGTAGTTCTTGTTGTTAAGGGCAGTCAAGTCGGTTTCTGACTCATGGTGACCCTGTATAGCATTTCCAGGGCTGCAAATCTTTATGGAAACAGAATGCTTCATATTTCTCCACTGGACGTGGTGGGATCAAACTGCTGACTTGTGGTTAGCAGTTCATTGCTTACCCTACAGCACCACCAGCAAGCACTCCTAAATAAAGGATTGCTGCTGTTGTTAAGTGTGATCAAGTCGGTTCCTATTTATACCTTAAGGTTAATAGTCCAGTGCTTATCCTACAGTGCCATACCAGGGCTCCAAATAAATGATTTTTGTTGTTGTATCTAAAATTGTCCTTTATTCACTATTCTTTTGAAAGATGTGTCCCTAGGTTAATTATGTATATTATACTCTTCTATGCAATTCAGTTTTCATTTCCTAAGAAATGAAAGTGATACATAAGAAAATAATTTTGAAGATATTATATAGAAGTATTCTTGTTAAGTGCTATCTAGTTGGTTCTGACTCATAACAACCCTGTGTAGGGTTTCTGAGAAGCAGTTGGTGATCTTGAACTGCCAACCTTGAAGTTCAAACTGACCTAAAACCTATTAACTGCTTAGAACTTAAATGACCTGGATTTTACTAATATGCACTATTCCTGTGAAAAGGGGTATTATAGTGAAGAAAAAAGTTTTCAGAACATTCAAGCAACAGAAGATCTAAGATAATAATCTATTGTGTGAGGACCAGTTTCAGAGGTCTACTCAGTCACATGGCATAACACAGTCCATAAAGAAAATGTTCTGCATCCTCCTTGGGTGAGTGGTGACTAGGGTCTTAAAAGCCTATAAACAACCATCTAAGATACCACTATTGTCTCTTACCATACAAAGCAAAGAACAGTGAGAAAAACCAAAGACTCAAGAGACAATTCATCCAAAGGACTAAGGACCCATGTGAACCACACAGCGTCCACTAGCCTGAGACTAGATGGTGGTGGTGGTGAGCCATGGTGACAGTTCTGACTCATAGTGACTCTGTATAGGGTTGTAAATCTTTACGGGAGCAGAAAACCTCATCTTTCTCCCAAAGAATGGCTGGTAGTTTTGAACTGCTGACCCTGAGGTTAGCAGCCCGATTCGTAACCACTACGCTAACAGAGCTCCTTCGATGGTGCTACAACTACTCATGCCTCTGACCAGGATCACAGTAGGCAGCCCTGGACAGAGTAGGAGAAAAATGTAGAACAAAACTCAAATTCATATAAAAGACGAAACTTACTGGCCTGATTGAACCTGGACTGTGGCCCTTCAAATCTGGAACTGAACCCCTGCCCAGAGATCACCTTTCAGCCAAACAACCAACAGAACTATAAAGCAAACAATAACTATAAAGCACACAATAACTATAAAGCA